GTTTTCGTTTTTATTTGGCGTACTATTTATACGCACTTTCATGAGATCGGGTTGATTTTACAAGGTACCAATTTCACATAAATTTGTATGATGATTCCAATAAAACAATATGATTTTTTTTATAGGAAGAAATCAAGCATGAAGATCCACCCCTGCATATAAATTGGGGAGTAAGCAGATCATACAAAAACGTAGGCTACAGATGAGATTCAAAGATTCATACAAATTGGACAATTTCCTGAATGAATAAATCTTATGAAATGATTCTTTTTAGTCAATTAAAAACCAGTGGAAGTGGTTACTGCTTTAACTAGTCTCAACCAGTCTCTAGAACAATAAGTTGACTCAAAATGAACTCAAAAGAAACGGTTAAGGTAAGTGAGAAATGGGTGATAGTTGCACATATGACAATATTAAGCACAATGAGTTGTTGTAATCAGTGAAATATTTGAATGAATGTGTTTAATACATTAATACAGCTAGAAACTGAAGCCTAATGAATAGCATTTACATCTGTCCAGTTGAAATCTGAAATGATCTAAAAGAATCGTTGAGCCAATTCAGAAACGGGAATCGTTCAGATGAATCAGAATCGTTAAATTCTTCACGATTCCCGTGCCTAATGTTTACGCGGGGTAGTAATTAACACACAAACACAAAAAAGCTCAGACAGAACGCGTCCTATGTGAACGCCCCCTTACATTGCGCTCAGTCTAGCTGCTTTTGAACGCAAGAACGCGTCCTCTTAACGCACTGCTTAGACGTTAGATGATGTATATCACGTATATAATATCATATATAACATATCAACACTTAAAAGTAGAATAGGCCGAGCGGACCCGCTGCTAGTTCACCGGCTGACATACGCGTTTCACACGCGCTCCAACCGGAGTCACCTGTTTCAACGCTTTCGAAACGCACATGATTACATTTGAAACGAAAAGGAGAAATCATGCAGTATCATTTAATTAAAGCGTTCAAAAATAATACCACCAATACTGTTAAACGTAGGGTGGATTGCTAGAAGCCATTCGCAAGGGCCTATACATTTATACGAGTCAAACGCATTTTCCTCTGCAGATTTACGCACGAATGATATCAAGCAGGTCAGTTTATTTCAAGGAATTGAAATCCGCTCTGAGAATTAGATTGCAACACTGTAGCCACAGACGTTCTGAGAACGCGGCATTGTTCTATATGATCTTCCCATGGCAACCATTGTTGCCATCCTCGTTCTAAACACTCACCGCGCGAAAATCCACACAGCTGAAGACATACTGGCAGAATGAGGAGCCCCAGAATAGACGTGACCATTTCTGAACGCCGTGCTGTCTGTGGCCTCGTCCCTGATATTGTAGCACAGCCGAACTGTCTTCGTGGGACAAACGGAAAGCGGTGTGATCCACGGGCTGTTATCTCATTTAGGCAGTTCCCCGGTCAGTCTCTCCACACACACACACACACACACACGGAGCCGCAAGCCATGTCCTAATTTACTGAAAGCGTGAACCTGCAGCGAATAACCGCGCCACTGCCGAACACAGCCGTGTTTTTTCCTCCTTCAACATGTCATTTACACACTGTTAACCCTTTCTGTACCACATCTTCCGCTAAATCTGCCGTACACGTATATGGTGCAGTCTCTCTTTGCCTGTTTGAGACAAATGAGGAACAAATAAACCTGTAAATCTAAAATAGTCATCTTCCTCAGTCTGTGTAAATTTCAGTCAGTTTAAAATTTGTGGAGGGGTAATCCTATACATTCAGTACCATACTAAACTGTTAAAGAAGATCACTCACTAACAGTGTTGGGGGTAACGCATTACAAGTAACGCGAGTTACATAATCAGATTACTTTTTTCAAGTAACTAGTAAAGTAACGCATTACTTTCCATAAAAAGTAACTAAGTAACGTAATTAGTTACTTTTTTATGGAGTAACGCAATATTGTAATGCATTACTTTTAAAAGTAACTTTCCCCAACACTGCTCACTAATTGTAGAAGATGGAAGTTCTTAATTTGGTTAAGAGCGACAAAGCACAAAACAGAAAAGCAGTTTCACTTGCTTTTGAATAATGACATGGGGCTATGTGACTAAAAACATTGCCGTCTCACATAGAAAACTACTGTATATAAGTTAGGTTCACAGTTTTTACTTCATAATCTGAAAAGGTTAAGCATTGTTTCAAGTTCCAATATTATTCTGACACTTCACATAACCGAGGAACGTTCCCCTTTAAATTTTTGATATATGGCAGATAAAGGGAGACTTTGGGGCTGGTTGTCACACTATTGATTCTCATGGTATAATATTGAAAATAATAATAATTATAACACTTATTTATTTATGTATGTATTTATTTATTTGTTTGTTTGTTTTTTTTGTTTTTTGTTTTTTTATTCATTCACTCTTTTTGCTAAAAAGTACATTTTATTACAACATCTCTTTTACTGCCCATAAAAAAATATTCAGTTTAAGGTTAGTAAAACTTTTTTTTAAAGAAATTAATAGTTTTATTCAGTGCAGGATGCATTACACTGATCAAAAGTGACAGTAAACATTTAAATTAATAAAAAATCTGTTTCAAATGTGCTGTTTGCTTCAAATTTCTTTTGAAATGTCTATTTCTGTAGTATATATATATGTATCCTAACCAGGGCTGAATGGAAATCTATTAAAATAGCATAAATCTTCCAATATTTAGGTAAAGATTTATTTCATGCATCTTTTAAAATAATATTTTTGTATGATATTCCTGTTCCTTTGACAAATTTTGACGGATCAGCTGAATTTTTGGATCAGTCCACTGGGTTCATTCTGAATTCTGTACTTCTTAAAGTATATGCGATATTCTGCTTCATTTGACTCTGCTGGATATGGTCACTTTGCTCACAGTAAAGACATGAGGGACAGTGTATCAAACATCTGAGGAGAAGAGTATGTGATCAAAGATCAAGGTGGTTTGTCTTTCTGAAAACAGGATGACATGAACAGGAGGGCTTCTGTTCCCAGATCAGAATGCACACTGGACTCTTTCATGCATATTGATCCCTTATTCAGAGCAAATCAATGTTCCCCGCAGAAGCCAGACAGATGCGTGTGCAAGCACTATAGTTACCCTGTTCATTAATCATCAACCCTGACATCTTAGAGTCTTCTCTTCTCATTTGTTCTGGCTACATCGTCACCTCCTCACATCTGATTAACACTTTTAAAAATATGGATATATTAATATCCTTTTTATCTTTATCTGATGTGGTGATAACTTTATGATTACATTAGTGGTGCATGCTAAGGAAATCATCACTATTTGTAAAGAAAGCGTTTTTAAAATAACCACTTTTGATCTCTTGTATTATTTTGATAAGTCAATTTATCCTAAAAATGTTTTACATTTATACAAATCTTGCCATGTAAACACTGTTAGCCCTAATGCAAATACTTTATGGTTAAAAGCTAGGAATTAAAATTTCTAAATGTTTTTGAAAGAAGTCTGTTGTGCTCACCAAGGTTGCATTTATTTGATCACAAAATACAGTAAAAACAGTAATTTTGTAAAATATTATTAAAGTTAAATGAACTGTTTTCTGTGTAAATATATGTTAAAATGTCATTTATTGCTGTGCTCAAAGATGAATTTTCAGCATCATCACTCCAGTCCTCAGTGTCACATGATCCTTCAGAAATCAATCATTGTAATACACTGATTTGCTGCTGAAAGAAACATTTATTATTATTATCAATGCTGAAAAGAGTTGTGCTGCTTAATATTTTTGTGGAAGCTATAGTACTTTTTAAAAGATGTTTTGATGAATAGAAAGTTCAAAAGAACAGCATTTATTTGAAATAGAAATATTTGTAGAAATATTATAAACATTAGAAATAATTATAAACATTATTTTACTATTATTTTTATTTTTAATTTATCTTACTCTGAACTTTTGAAAAGTAGTGTGTCTTGGTCGCTACAAAAATGTTTTTTAATTTTAAATATTTTTTGAGCATCAAATCTGCATCCAAACTTTTGACTGGTAGTGTACAGGTGCATCTCAATAAATTAGAATGTCGTGGAAAAGTTAATTTATTTCAGTAATTCAACTCAAATTGTGAAACTGGTGTATTAAATAAATTCAATGCACACAGACTGAAGTAGTTTAAGTCTTTGGTTCTTTTAATTGTGATATCACTAAAAATGTTTTTTTTTATTAGTCTTATGAAGTATTCTAATTTGTTGAGATAGTGAATTGATGGGTTTTTGTTAAATGTGAGCCAAAATCATCACAATTAAAAGAACCAAAGACTTAAACTACTTCAGTCTGTGTGCATTGAATTTATTTAATACACGAGTTTCACAATTTGAGTTGAATTACTGAAATAATTGAACTTTTCCACGACATTCTAATTTATTGAGATGCACCTGTATATTATTTGACATGCAAAAAATTTTGTTTTTCGGCTTCCCATTTAGGCTCTTTGCAGGAAGTTCTGCTATTACAGCTCAGTTTCTATTTGCTTAAGAGAAAGAATCACGCTAAATTGGAATCATCTTCCATTACAATCATTTATTTAACAGCCTCACATTAATATGGTCATGCTGTTGCATATGAAATCTCTGTGAGTCGACCGTGTCCATTTTAAAATGGCTTTCTGGATGTACAGTGTATATCTAAGAATTAATAAAGAATTACATACATAACCGTGGACTTAAAATAGTACAGGAAACATATTGGCTTGGGATCATTAATTATGTAATTTGTAAAATAAGCCTTTATGAGCCTTTAATGCATTGCTCAATTTGGTTTCACATAAATTATTCAACAGGTTAGCTTAGTATGAAGCCATTTAGAGTTCTGTCTTCATTTTCAAGCATTATATTTGCCACAGGTCCAGTGCTGTGCTCCACAGAAACAATACAAACAGTAAAATGTGTTTGTTCATCACTCACTGCTTTTTTTTTTTTATTCTGAAAGCATTTAATTTAATTATAGGATCATTTATACATATATACCAAATAACCATATGTATGGAATACTGATTTGAGGTTGAATCATTTTATTAAGAAAAAGTCCAGAAGAATTTCATATTGTGTTGTCAACTTGTCACTATACTTATATGTAAATAAGATCTGGTCTTTTTAATTTCTAAACAATTCGTTTTATTTTCACTGTGCATTTAGTTTCAAGTGTGTATAATTCACCTCACAACAGTGTGCAGTGTACAAACATAACAATAGCATCCAGTTATTAAATGACTTATATGATGTACAATATAATACAAATTTTGTGCAATAAAATAATACTTACAGTATGAAATATTGCAATAACATTCAGGCGTTCTTATGTTGGAATTAAAAACAACCATGAGAATATACTTTGGGAGTTATGTTCCAGTGAAGAAGCATTGCATAGCAGTGTCTGTGGTTTCTGTGCAATATTCTATTGAACTAGATATTTTACTCTATTCCAGATAACCACACCAATAAACAATGCAAACAGTGATTGATCACATTACATGCCAATCATTCAGTATACTAATACGTATATGCAGTACAGTATGTGTACTAAAATGCACATTTGCTATTTAACACTGTTTAATTCACTGGATTTTTGTAATTTTAATAGTAAGACTCCCGTCTGAACACTGGACTTAAATGAACACAGTTCATTGGTTCACTGGATTAATTATCCATTGATATGCACAGTGTATCAAACTAGTGAGGGCATCCAGTCGACTGGGCGCTCAGGTGTGATGGGAGGCGTTCTCCAGCAGGTGGCGCTGTCAGCAGAAGTCTGGTCCAGAACCGGCACGGCTGTGCAGTGAGTGGGTGGGTGTTTCAGCATGGGACAGGGGGCCGATGTCACCTGGGTGGGTCGTAGCCGAACGGTAGATGTAAGCAGAGGGAGTAGTTGGGCATTGAGTTGTTATTGCTCGGCAGTGGGTTGATGTGATAGTTTTCAACAAGGGCAGATAAAGTGGGGAACGTCAGATCTGCCTCCAGATACACCCGCTGGTCCTGTACATGTAAAAAAAGAGAGAGTAAAACAGAATGAGTTTGATCTGGACTGACAAATGAAGGTGCTATTGTAGCATTTCCTCAATATTCGGTAGCATTAACAGCGCAGGACAAATTATGTGCAGAATTGAAAATACTATTGGTTAGAGTTTTGTACAAATCTTGCCTTGGTAAAAACTTCTGTACTGTAGATTTAGTGTCCAAGCAAAATAGCTACTAACCTCCTCAAAGAGCCTATAATTTCTGGCTTTGTTTATACCGGAGTCCCAAACAACCAGCACCTGTGTCAAACAGGGAAAAAAGTGCAAACATGTATAAACATACACAGATACATTTGCAAAAAAAACAAACAAAACAAAAACAGATAGATAGATAGATGAGATTGATATTCTATACAGAATGCCATTTATCTTTCAGTTTTAGAAAGTAAAATCTAAAATTACATATAATTATTTTTTATATTTTTGTTACAAAATAATGTCATTTTTGTTATAATAATAATATGAAGACTTCAGATGCAAAAACCTCCATCTGAGATTTTTTTTTTTTAATTATCCAGCTTTTATCAGGCCTATGAACATATCATTGGACATTTTTGAAAATAAGGCATTCAATAACTAATAACCTTTTCTTTGTCTTCAAAGTGAAATTACTGAACCTAAACATAGGGGCCCAATTAAAAAATGTTCTTTTAAAAGATAAAATGTCAGGAAAAAAAAAAAATAAAAAAAAATAAATATATATATATTCCTATTACTTGTTTCGCTTCTGTTTCAGTTTTTATAAGCATTTCTTACTATGTAAGTTGTTGTTTTTTAGCATGTGTGTTTGGCAGTGTTATTTTTTAGGATTACTGATAAACTACTGTCATTTGATTTGTATTATTTGTATTTGTTATTTATTTTAATTTTAGTTAAATGATGTCTGAATTTATTATGTCTGTATAGGTCT